AAGAAGTAGAAACAGCAAATAAATATATGAAAAAATGTTCAACATCACTGGTCATTTGAGAGATGCAGATGAAAACAATGCTGAGATTCCATCTTACTCCAGAAACAATGGCTGCTTTAATAAATCAACCAATAACAAATGCTGGTGGGGCTGTGGGGAAAAAGGAACACTGCTCCACTGCTGGTGGGAGTGTAGACTGGTGCAACCACTGTGGAAATCAGTGTGGAGATTCCTCAAAAAACTAGAATTAGTCCCATTTGACTCAGCCATTCTCCTGATGGGTATCTTCCCAAAAGAATTAAAAGAATCATACCACAGTGATATATGCACACCCATGTTTATAATAGCGCAGTTTGTAATAGCTAAATCTTGAAAGCAACCAAATGCCTGTCAACTGGTAACTGGATAAATATGTGGGGTTTTTTTTTTTATATAAAATGAAGTACTACTCAGCCATAAAGAATGAGAAACTAGAGAGATTTATAGCTAAATGGATACATATTGAGGCCATGCTCTTAAGTGAAATAAATAGGAAACGCATGTGTAAATACCAAATTGTCTCTCTGGTATGAGAAACTGAAAGTGTAAATGAGGACCAAAATGTATAATAGATAATGTGAAACAGGAAGAAAAGGTTCAAAGGGGAAGGGGAAGTCGAGGGGGTTGGGGAAAGGACAGAAGGGAAAGAAAAAAAATATGAGAAAAGAAGGAAAACACGGAAGGAAAACTTTTGTAAATAGGGAGGGAAGGGGAATGGGAAAAAACAAGAAGTAAGATATATCATATACAGGTACAAATTCCCAATGATGAATGTGATCATAATGTATACCTAAAATGTACCAATAAAGTTAATAACCCCCCCCCCCATTTAAGGTGACATAGTCAGCTGGGGAGTGGTGGTAGTGGTGGAAGAAGATAGAGAAGTTGTTTCTAATGCTTTTACTGTAATGTAACACACAGGGTCTTCGTTAAATAACTAGTCTTTCTTAGTTTTGTTTTTTCTTTTGTGACAGATAAAACCTTATTAAAGTATCTCAACATTCTTTTAACACTACATTCAATCATTTGTTTATTCTTCTTTCAGAAATGAGAATTAAAATAAGTCCTCCTTAAATTCACTGGTTAACATGGGAACTAGATTGAATACATTTGCTGATCAGTTAAGTGCTAGATATTGTGCTAGGCAACAGAGTTGAGTAAAATATAAAATAACTTAAAAACTTGACTAACCAACACAAGAAGACAGAAATGCAGCTGTGAGTGGTATAAAGTTAGGCTACAGAGAGATGGTGGGGAAGAGATATTGAGAAGGGAAAGGCAGGGACCAAAGTGTGGAGGAAGGAAAATTTAAAATACATGGTGGGTTCATGGAATTAAAAATAGTTCTATATAAAGGAAAGGAATCTCTGTACAAGAGAAATTCCACAAAGATGCACTGGGATCAGAACAAGGAACAAGTCTTGTTTCTCATAGAGAATGGACTGCCATTTAAATGTCAGAAAAGACGTCCTGCTAATAGCTGCTCTGAAGTAGTCATCAAGATGCACCGCGGGGAATGCTGGAGGTGGGTGAGACCAGATGAACAGTGTGGAGATGTGCTACAAGGCTCAGATGACAGCAGAAGAAAAGCTGTAGTTTGCCAGGAGGTGTCCCGGGATGCAGAAGGAAGAGCTGGTGCCATTTGAAGGAGGTGAGATTGTGTTGGAAAGGTAAAAGAATTCTAGGGCAATTTTCAATGACTGGTTTTCATAAGCACAAAACCATGGTGTTTTATACTGAGAGGAGCCAAAGTGTAGGAAGTGGCAGGGAGAAGATGAACAGAATGCCACACTGTATTCATGTTGAAATTAAGGTGATAAAACATAGATGGTAGGTTTTTGGGATAGGATAGAGGTTTTTATTTGGAAGTTCTTAGCACAGAGCTGGTCATCAGATGAAACTGCTCAGGAAGGACAGACTGACAAAATATGGAAGCTGTATCCTATAGACCACCGCTAACCACAGTGCGACTATGTCAGAAATCAGTAATAGAGGGACACTTTCAAGATTAAAAAACATAGTTCCAAAAACTGATATTCTTTTTTTTTTTGCTTAAATTCTTTTATTGGTACATTTTAGGTATAAAATCCATTTACATTTATCATTGGGTGCTTGTACCTGTACATGATGTATCTTGGTTCTTATTTTTTCCCCATTCCTCTGCCCTCCCTTCACCCCCTCCACCCTTCCCTATTTACAAAGACTTTGTTTCCATTTTTTCCTTTTCTCATAATTTTTCC